AAAAAAAAACCTGAGTATGAAAATGACCAACACGCACACACAACAATGATCTGCCTTCATCGCTATGTTGTTTCACGGTAGCAGCTGAGAAGGACAAACACAGCGGCTGTGCACTTGAGTCAGAAAGGCAATGTTGATCCGTTGATTGAAACGCTCCCTGTCTTGTGTTGGGATCCAGGATTGCATTGATACAGGGCTGAATGTTTGTGATTTGTGTGATTATAGATCAACAGCTTGACTCCTTCTGGCTTCCGTAGATGTAAGATTACAGGATACAACTGTTCAAAGCCATATGAAATTAATGAACATCATGCAACAAGCAATTTGTTGATGATATTTAGCATCACGTTGTTGCTTTTGGCCAGTTACACACAACTCAGGTGCTGCAGTTGGAAAGACCAGAAGAAACCTAAAAGACTAAAATAACTGGGACAAAACTATTAAAAAATATTGCACCATCTCTCAACTTAAAATTCATACTGGATGATGCTACTGAACAATCCTTTAGCTGAAAAGTCTCTTGTAGAAATACAGACTTGATATCAGACTAGTGCTCTAATTTCTCCCTCCCTTTCTGCCCTCTCACTAAGGCACCCGTGCAAACAGTCCTGTGGATAAAGACTTTGTTCTGTGCACTACCTGTACCCAAAAACACCGGAATCTCACCTTGCCCATACATACAGTGCACATAAACGCCTCACAAACATATTGACACATAATCATCCTTATATCTGTAACATCAATTAACTTAAAAATAACCCAAAAATCCAATATTTGATTCTGTACAAGCTTCAGGAAGAATACATCTGTTGCTAAAACCATATGCTTATTCCACTCATAGAGAGGGCGATCACTTGGTTTTCTTGTCAAGCTGGAAGAGATCCAGTATGTCAAGCATAGCCTGTCTGATGTTGGTGCCAAAACGGTGGGAGTCCTGAAATAGAGCAAAAAAGAGGACATATGTAATCATAGGTAATCAAATTATGGACAGAGACAAATCTAAATTGTCTGTAAAAATGTAAAACTAGTGAACTTACAGTTTCTGAGCTCGAGTGTTTGCTGGAGATGTGGAAGTTGATGAGGTTCTCACCAACAATGATGTAGGAGACACCATAACCATCATCAGCCACCTTTAGGACACAAGAGGAAAGAAAAAGAAATGTGAGTTTAATCTCAAGAACAGTCTCAACATCTGACATGTACATACAGATCCTCAGTAAACGTGCATAAAAACAGGACAGAGGAAACACTTCGTGTGACATGCAACCCCTTGGTAAAGATCAAACAAATATTGAGCCATACATGAAGGAAATAGATTGCATGATTTAGGCCCAGTCCCATCGCACCTGTTGCTCTTACAACTTATCCCTTATCCCTCCATTTTGCATATTCACGTCGAGGGGCAGGGTGAACCTATTCTTGATGGGATAAAAGGGTGGGGCGAAGCATAAAGGCTACTTGTTTTCAGAGGCACAATTCGAAAAGTGTGTTAGGCGGAATCATCGGTAAAATGTCAGCACAAGCAACAAGAAAAGCCCACAAATGGATTTTCTTTGTTATAAAACATTTTAAAATTATAATAACCATCATATTATTCTAGTTTAATGTTTCAATGAATTATTTTCCGTCCTTTATAACAAGCATGACAAAAAAAATTGCTAGTATGCTGATATCTCAGTAGCTAACTAGCTAGCTACACACTGTTACACTGTTATTGCTGATTTGTGCATGACAGTCCCACATTTTGACATATTTCCATGTTGCATTCCCCCTCTTTCAAACGGCTGAAATTTAACTTAAGTCCAGGGACAAAGTCGCTGCGCTTGTTACAGCTCTTCTAGTATCAGTTCAGGATGGCAGAGTAGGAGCACAGATTGCTAACGTTAGCCTGCAGAGCACCACTGATGGCCTGGTGATGAAGCAGCGTTCTTTGTTATTTTATGTCTTGTTTGATTGATTGGCAGTGTGAAACTTAAGTTGTTGCGAACGAATCGTGAGCACCCTGACAAGCGCAAAAGGATGCCTGTTGCACATGCTAGAGAAATCAGTACTGCAGAGGATGGCATGTTCACAGTGCCTGGCAAAACAAAAAAAGATTGTCCCATTTCCTGTTTTTCAGTTACAGAAAAACTGCACAACCTTCTTTTAAAATTTCTGTGAAAACTGATGGATAACTTACTGGACCAAATCCGCCGCCGGAGGACACATACTCAGGGTGTTTGACCAGATCGAACAGCTCAAGCTGCTGCAGTGGCGTCTGACTGGTGGACAGCCTCCATGGCTCAGACAGGACCTAAACATAGCGGTAACATACATTTAATTCTCCGGTCAAACAAAACTCATGCTGTCTCCTCAGCCAAAGTAACATGTTTTTCTAGCCTGATGTAGAAGCATTTTTTCTTTAATGATACTTAATACACAGTGGAAAGTTACTGAGAGAAGGGCAGAAGTAGCACATGTTATATAACAAAAGTAGCTGGATTTAAATATACCATGTCACATGTAAGTAGAAGGTGGACAAACAGGACGTACACCTGTAAATTTTATGAGCCAGATTAATCAGTAGTGAAGCTTAATCTAGAATAGTTATTCCTTGTTTTAAAAGGCTGGTTTCCCTTTAAAAATCGCACTAGTAGTTATTTCTTTATGGGGTCCTGGACAACATTCATTTCAACCACTTAACACTCAACTTAACTTCAGACTTAACTTTCAGAAGTTACACCAACAATATTTCTTTAGTAAATTCAAGTTGTCCTAATCTCAGAACAACTTGCAACAAGACATCATACCTCCTTGAGGAAGGGTGAGTCCTCTCCCAGGTATTTAGAGACCACATAGAGACAGAAAAGGTGGCGATCGATGCCCTGTCCTGTCATCGCCAGGCGGTACATGTTCTGGTGCTTCTCTGCCGCCTGTTTGAGCAACATGAGACGCTCTTCTCTCTGAGATGGATGTGAGATAAAAGCAAAACATTACAAACTGTTAAAGAGCATGATCTGCATACCCGATTAACAATCAGAGAGTAAGAGTAGCACTGTAAACAGAGGTGTGGTGTGTTGCTGCTGCGTAGCCTTACTGTCTCATCTCTGATCATGGCACGGACAAAGGCACAAGTCTCCATGGTGCAGGAACGCACAGTTTCTGTTCGGCCCTCACGGAACAAACGCGTCATAGAGGCTTCGTAGGTCAGGCAGAACTTCCCTTTGTCCTGTTGAGAGATGGTATGGGTCAGCATTTAAAAGACAAACTGCAGAAGGCTGTTTTAATGAGATAAAAGTAGAGTTTTGACATGTTGGTAACTACAAAAAAAATAAAAAAATAAATTAACTTTACAAAGATGTTTAATAACCGCTTATATATGATCATGTCCTGTAATTTATATTATCAAATACACTGCAAAACTAACAGGAGAAAACAACTTCAAACTGTAGTTAAACAAAGTTTACTATTTGAAATGTTGACTTGAAAGTGGAGACTGCCCTCTGCTGGACATTCAGAGGAATTTCACTGGATTGTTTCAGTTTTTATAATTAAAATCACAACATGGACAAGCCACTAAATAACAAATAAATGCCTACAAGTGTTATTAAGTCATGACTTTTGTTTTGAAACCAGTGAGATGTATGCACTTACCCTGTAATGGGCCAGCTGTAGGGCGATCTGGATGAAGGCATCAGGACTGGTGCGGCACTTCTTGATCAGGCCTTTGCCAAAGTCATTGAAGGGGAAAATATGAGAGTCCACATCATCGGCCAGAGGCTTGGCTACTGAAAGAGAGCTCTCGATGACCTCCTGGCACTAAAGGAAGTCACAGAGTCGTGTGTTAGTCTGAGCAGATGCAGCATGACGTTACTGATGACGTACTTATAAAACAAAGAAATTAAGAGAGCTCTGATTGATAAATTCTCTATCAGTGGTATTAGTATCTATTAAGCTAGCATCAGTTACTGCACTGTCACAATTTGAATTTCAAATAAACAATACCCAATGGCCCTTCTCTGAATGGAAATAATAAAATACCAACACTGGTGCACATAGTTCAAGCTACCAGCAGAGGGAAACCAAGGCCTATGAGTATCAAATCTTAGCTATCAGCCCACAGGTCAAACAGCTTCAAGAACACCATCATCCTAGTGTGTCAGAATTTAAGGGTTGCATCCCTTTCCAAAACCAATAGTTCAAAATTCACACCCACTTCACACAGTGAGTGACCAGCTGTGCAGGGTTTTAACTTCTGTTTTCATTATTTACACAACCATTTCTCATTTTCGATGCGCACTGAATTCAACACTATGAATGTCTTTGAGGAGAGACTGTCTTATAGTGTGTGCAGTCATCCTTGTATTTTCACGATTATTAGGTTCCCTCCTCTTTATGATAGCCAGCTTTCCTCCCGACCTTCAAGTGTGGCCTTTCCCCTTCCAACGTGGTTCTTTATGAGCATAACCTGACCCTTACCTCAGTTGAGAGGTCCCACGACAGCCTCTGAGGTCCTGGCAGGTTGGGGTGGGGCTCCCCACGGCAGTGACCCTCCTCAGTGTATCCCAACTTTACAGGGTCCATAGAAAGAACATGCTGCAACGCAGAGTCAAGTTTTAACATGACTAATTCAGTTAAACTGATGAAATTGCTTTTACATTTGTGTGTGGTGAGATTTAATGGACAACCATCACAGCAATCAGAACATGACAACATTATTCCCACTCCACTGTATTAGTTCAGATTGTTGAGCAAGTTAAATACATTTGTTATTTTACTTTAAAGAAAAATCTTCTGAAGTATTCATTTCTTAATTCAATCTTTGTGACGTAATTAGAAGTTGGTTTAATGCAAACATGAGAAATGTACCTCCCAGAGATGGCCAATGATTGGAGCGTCAGCCCAGGAATGCTCTGCGTTCAGTCCCATGGTGCCATTCTTGAACACGATCAGGTTAAAGGATTTATCAAACCACCTAATGGTAAGAAAGAATAAACAGTTTATTTCTAAATGAACTTGTGCTGCAAATTTTTTAATTACCTGAAATAAAATATACTAAGTTCATTTGTCCCACCTGTCGTAGCACTTTCCGTGGAGCAGGGACTTCGCATAACTGTCCAGAGACTTGACTGGGTTGGCTGCATCATAGCGCTGCTCGGTGTCATCGAGGGTTACAAAGAAGGCTGCCTTCTCAATGGCGTCCAGAGATTGCTTGTTCCTACCACGGCTGAAGAAGGCTTCACGAGCTTTGGCCCATGGAGTCCTGCAGAGGATCAAATAACAGCCTTTTTTTAGGGCAGGTCTGAGGCAGTCAAGTCAAGCCCACTTGAGACAAGTGCCTTTAAGTTTCTCCTCAATGAAACAATGATGACGTGTGGAAGAGCGGTACAGAACCTTTTGCATTTTTGTGGTTGCTGACACAACCTTTCCTACCTTCAAATTCTACCTCTAAAAGTCAGTATTAGCTTCCGACCATTACACTGTCTGGGCCCATATCACGGGCAGATTTAAATGGCATTTAAATGTCCATCTACGTAGTGTCTTTCCTTACTTCCTGTCTTGATACTACAATACACAGTGTAAAGTGTTTGGCCTCATCAGCAGCTGACTCTGTAATGCCACCCACCTCTCCCCTGCAGTTAGTGCGGCTAGTTTCTCCTCTCCTGGCAATGGCTCCGACTTGTCGGCCAAGATCCTTTCCATCTGCTGCTCTATCTCCCGTGGCAACAGCAGCCGTCCATCATAAAACATCCACACCTTGTAGAAACGGCCCTTATGGTACACAGCTATGTGTTTGCTCTCGTTCATGTGCTGAATGGTGTCTGGGGCAGAAGGACCAACGGTAAGGAGAGAGAGGAAGAGGAAAACGGAGAAAGAAAGACAACTGGAGTGTTGGGGTGGTGTCAGGGTAATGTCTGGGTAGATTTATGTGTTTGTGAGTGTATCTTGGTGCATATTAAAATGAAAATTGGATGTAATTAAAATCTCAAAAAGAAGGCAGCAGTTTTAACGGAGTGAGGATGTCACAACATTTCATTTCTGGGAACAACAGAAGTGTTAGTACCCAGTTCTGCGTCCCAGTGAAATGATGTGACATCCACACATCCACTGATTTCTGTCAAGCGCAAAATACAATTAAAAGGGCTGGTTCTTTTGTTGTGGACATCCTTCTTTTTTAAGTTTCAGGGACAAAAAAACCCAACTGAATTCATGATGGATGGGACTACTACCCAGTTCAATAACTAAAGCAGCTTGAAATGGGAAGTGCGGGAAGTGAGATGAAAAGGGAAAGTAATTTGGGAACAGAATGGTGGTTTGGAATACAATGGATTGAGGCAATGTTTGTTTGAACAGCACTGTGCACAACCGAGAGAAATCAATTCAAAAACATCACTTCCTTCTTTGACGATATTGTTGTGGTGCTGCTCGTGTTGTTCAAACAAGCGTTACCCTTGTTACAGGCAAGACAAGGGAAGGGATACTTACACTAGGACCAAACCCAAGAACAACCAACTCACATCCAGGTAACACTAAGCCTAGACCTCGGCCGTATTAATATGAATCTTTCTGTCTCCAAAAACTCCTTATTAACCTATCATAACATATGTTTTTTATTGAAATATGTGAATGTATCACTTATTTAGTTGTATTTAATTCAAAAGTAGTTGTTTTTCAAAATTTTCCAACACTGAATCTCAGTATTTTTCTAACATATTTCAGTTCATTTAAGTGGTCTTAAATTGTCTTTGTCCAAAGGCTTCAGGCTTTGGGCTTTCATACCAGAGTGGTCCTCGCCCTGGTTATTAGACTGATGTTATATCATGCATCAGAGGTCATTACCACACTGACCATGCATGTTATACTTTATTTTAAATCTTCTCCTTAATCCCAAGTTTTAACCAGGTTCTTGTTGAAGCTGCTTTATAAAAGCTTCCTGCCACCTCAGAGGTCATTTGGTGCTTTTACACAATGCTGAACAAACAATGGGCATCACCCAGACATTAACGTGATACCAGTATTTTATTATCTTTTGGAAATACTGAACTGAACATTCCCTTTATAAATATATATACATTTATTTTCTATGTATTCAGCCCAGCGTAGCACTGTTTGACATTTCCAGGTCTTACACTGTCGCTGTTTTGCCTTCTCAAACTCAAACACTAGAGTTCAGTCACATGCAAATTAGTCCTTCAATCTGCTCAGACCTTCACACATGCATTATTTATTCATGGAGGTCAGATTATTTCTGATTCAAACACATGGACAAGTGTCCCAAGGAGAAGTACAGTAGGAGTAGTGTGGAGGAGGCGGTACTGCTAAAGACTCTACCTGTGTCTACACCTGGGACGCGACTGGTGTTGAACATATGCTCGTATTGGGCTGAGCACATGGGAATAGTGTGTAGGAGCATGAGCTGAAAAGCAAAAGGGGAGAGTCAAACACACAGAGATGACAAACTAAATCACTAGAGAGCAGCAGCAGACACACACCTACGCGGAGAGGAGCATGGATGAAGTGGAAAGGAAAGATGAGGATCGGTTTAAGAAGCAGTCTTAAGGAGGAGAGGGGACCTGAGAGGGCTGCCAGGGAAAGGGACATGAGTAGGGTCCAGAAAACCAGTGGTCTGCCATCTCAATGCCACCAGCAAAGCCCTGATATTAGCAGTAAAGTCTGTACTAAAATGTAGATGCTTTTACAAATTCATACTAAAACTTAAATTTGTATATCTCTCCAATAGATGTCTAAAATAATACTACTAAAAAAATGAGAAGTAGGATTGTTTCAGGGCTGTGCTGTTGAGAATGAGCGTAGTAGTCAGGGTTTCCAGCGGCTGTTGCCGTAGCTAGGGTCACGGGGTAGGGGGTTCAGAGGGCACGGCGGAGATGTGCCCTCCTCTTACCTGTCTCCAAACCAGGGACGCGAGTGGTGTTAAACATCCGCTCCCACTGAGCCGAACACAGAGGAACCTTGTTCGCCAACAAGTATATCTAACGCAGCGTCCGACACAGCGAAGGGACAAAACAGTAAAACAGAGACAACTGAATGTGAGTGTGGAACAGAGCAAGCTCATGCATTGCATACAATCGGTCTTGGCAAGAGATCAGTGTGTGTATGTTCAACATGTTGTATGTGTTAGGGGTGTGCAAATGTAAAAAGAATTTGCACTCAAGCATCATGCAGGTTGGTAAAGGAAAAAGGGCCGACAGAGGAGCAGGAGAGGACGACACTGATGAGTGTCAGTGAAATCACCAGCATTCATCAAGCCTTTAGAAAATGCTTATGATTTCACTTTGCCGGTAATAACAACTCCACCTCCATCAATACAAGCAAAAAGCACCGTGCACAGCTAACATCAAAGTCACAGATAAGCACAGTTAGCTAAGGATATTATCAAGAATCTTCATAACCACTGGCGAGATAACAAACTTACTTACACAGATCATACACAAGAAAGGGTTGTGACAGATAAGCAGCTCACATTGTAAACTTAAAAGACAAACACACTGAGATAACAGCTATTCATCAATAAATCATAAATGAGAAAGTTAAACATTTACAAAGGATTGATATGGTCAAACTTGCTAATATAGTTAATATTGCAGCTCACACACGGTCTGATTAAGGAGTGAAACAGGAAGACAAGAGGAGCTCTGTACTCACTGGTTTGATCTGAGCTCTGTCCAGTTTTCTCCTGTAGAGCATGATAGCATGGATGGCATTACCTGCCCTGGCTGCCTGGATCGAGGTGGGAAACACATACAGGAAATCCTGGAGATAAAAAAGGAGATTAATAGTTCTGAATTAATAATCACTCACGTTTTATCCCACGTCACACGCTCCTGAGGAATATAAAACGTGACTTATAAGTGCAAACAGAACAGAACAATGTCACAGTGTGACCCATCCATAGATTCTGTGTTGTTATTTTGGTCGAGGACTGAATGCACACATACAGCAGGTCTCGTGACCGGCTATTTCAAGCATGATCAGTGTTATTCCACTGCCCCCATACCAAGTCTACCTCCTTTTAGAGTAGTGTTTCTCTGATATGGTTTTGTAAGCAAGAGTAGAGTTTCCCATTTAGGCTGCATTCATGCTAAATTTGGCGTTGTGGCGAAAACACCAGTTTTCCCATTCATTTGAATGCGGGCAGTGTGTCAAGGCTGAAGTGGTCGAGCAGAAAGAAATGCAGCAGCCTGCAGTGAAAAGCTGAAACAGAATCAACTTTTGGAGAAACACCACCAAACATCACGCTATTGTGGCCACTCATGTAACTGGTGATCAGACCAAAATACGCTCGCAGTCCATGCTAAAGAGTAATAAAGTTTCTCTCTATTGGTGAATATTATAGTGAGTAAAACGTGTGTACAATCCCGCTAAAGAGAACACTTGTTTGTTCTTTTGTGGCAGTCAAGATGCTACAGTATGATAATCAAAAGGAGCTCCACAGATCTTTTGAGCAAACATAAACAAACTAACCGAAGACAAATAGTCACTGAGACAAGGAGACGGCATTTAAGTGACACTCTTAAAACCGTCACACATACCTGCGGCTAATCGCTGCAACGCCTGATTTGGTGTGAAAGCAGCTTTATACTATCTGTTTGATAACCTCACACAGACTAAACAGATCCACAGTACTGTGTCTAGGAGCAGCGACTCATGCCTGCCATGCTACAGTGACAGTTCAGTCTGCTCTCATTCATTCAGGCAGAAACAAACAGGGGGAGCTGTGGGTTTGAGTCCTCAGTGCTGGGTAATTATCCCGCTGAGTTCACCCGGTCCAGGATCACAAATCTGGAGCATTCAACCTGCCCACTACTAACAATTTAGACATACTGTAGTACGGTGATTGTTGCTTTGCCAGCCAAGTAGCTGTAAAATCCCAAGACTGTAAGACTGCAGCTGTAATGAGTTCCCCTAAGACACACATGTATGGGGTTTAAGCCGCCAAGTGTGTGACCTTGCCATAGATAGAAAAACATTTGCTACCCAACTGTGTACAGCTAATCACACATAAGATAAGACTAGTGGTACACCATAAAAACTACTCTTATCCAAAGGCTAATTTAGATTTTTCAGGAAATCTATCTAATCTGTATCACTAAATAAAAGCAAGACAATATTCAGTCAGATCAAAGTTGCAGGAAGAAGGTTGAAAAATTCATTTTTAGGAAGTTTAGCTGTAGAAGAAGCTACAGATTTTTGTTATAGATAACAATTATTTTTCAGTATGTATGGCGATAATTTACTATTTAGCCTGAGACGTGTTAGTGGAGCTGTCATGTGGCATGTTACTATATGTCACTTACAATGTCATATATCAAACGAATCTCAGCAGCCTGGAGGCGACCCAGGTTACTCCGCAGCTCTACTGACAAATTACTTTATGATTACACATTTGATTACACTTTGCATAAACCTCTCAACATTTCCCAGCTGTGTTTTAGGTCACACAGCTGCAAAAGGGTCACACTCATCTCATCTCAGGAATTTATTAGGAACATGAAACACATACCTTCGGAGAATGAATCACAACCCACATTGAGATGCTTATTGCTTAATGTTTAAACAAAAGGCTCAGGCACTGTTTGCAAACAGACACTCAGGCAGACATGTCTTACCATGGCATAATAGTTGCTGTTGACCATGATGGGCCCACGGCCTCTGAGGTAAATGTACTCTTCCCACCAGTCACTGACCTGTGCGACACAAGGGGGGGTGACATTATAAGACAAGCTTCTTTTCTTCAAGAGGTTGAAGCTGGTACAAAGCCACAGTGTCCAAAACTGGGGCAAAGGACCAAAGAAGAGAGAAACTTACATAGTTGGAGGCCCACCAGGACTTGAGTTTGAGGTACCACTGCAGTCTGGGTCCCAGGTTCTTCTCAAAGTCTTTAGTCAAACCGGTCATCCGTTCATACTGCTCATCATCCATCAGTGGGCGCACTGACTCCAGATACTGTCACCACAGAAGAATGCATAGTCACATGTCAGGCAAAGGGTCAGGCAAAGGGTTGTCAGTTCATTTAGTCATCAATTCTTTGTCTCCTGAGGGATAATGACAATCGGCTTGTTTAGACAAACAAAGCCCTCGGCTATGTTGACATGACACACAAAGATAATAATTTACATGCAATACAGTAGCCCTGATTGGCTTTTATCTGAATACATTATTAGAAGAACATTTTAGAACATTAAGCCCTCTTCAGTTTTCTTCAAAATGCACACTCTGGTTCCCGTCCAATAGCTAGGATCACTATGAACAATGAGGTAGTGCACAAGGCATTGGTTTAGACAGGAAGTGACAGGACAGGTAGAAATTACCCTTTGGCAGGTGTCCTTGATAGTGGGAAGAGGTAGTCGTGGCAGGGAGTTCTGGAAACTGTAGAGCATTGGCTTCCTGCCAGAGAACACCTTCACTAATACCTGGACAAGCAGAGCAAATATGGGAGAGGTCAAACACACTTTGAAGTTACAGTTTGTGTTGCCCCAGGAAAGCTTCAGGGTCTTAGGCAAACATATAAACACTTGGATAAGCTAACGGGACCAAAGTATAAGGTGCATGTCACACAACTGTGTCGTGTTACGTAAAGAAGAAATCGAATCTTCAAACATGGCATACCTTTACTTTATTCTGGGTATTTTTTACGGCTTGCATCAAAAGGAAATCAATGTCCTACAGCAATGCACCCTAGACTTTAATTCATTCATATCAAACTAAAGGTCCAGTGTGTAGGATTTAGGGCGATACATGGGCAGGAATGGAATATATTAATAACAAGTATGTTTTCTTTACTGTATAATCACCTGGAAAGAAGAACGGTTGTGTTTTCGATACCTTAGAATGAGGCGTTTGTATTTACATAGTGAGCAGGTCCTCATCTACAGAGGTCATCATGTTGCACCATGTTTCTACAGTAGTCCAGAACGGAAAAACCAAACACTGGCTCTGGACAGGGATATTCACATTTTTTGTGTCAGCAACTGTGGTTAGCTGCCCCTCCGTGACAAGAGCGTCAGAAAAACACTGATTTTTTTTAAACATGACACTGCTTTATTCAGTGTTTTACTAATTTACATTACCAGGTCTGTTTGTTTTTGAGAGGGAGAGACCTCTATGGATAATTTGGCTCACGATGAAAAAAAACACCTGAACGTCTGGATCAGAAATAAGGTGAGTGCACATTAAGTTATCAGAGAAAATAGGTGAGCAAAAATTAACAGATGCTGGGCAAGTGGGCCGTCTGCAACGTGCCTAACAGCGTAGGAGAAACACTGATTTGCAACGTTAAACTACTTTGTTCAGTGTTTTAACCAGTTTTAATCACTTGGTCTGATTGTTTTGGAGAGAAAGAAACCCCTGCAGAAAAATCGGCTCCCCGTAAAAACCTTCTGAAGAATAAACACAAAGGGAATTCTAACCAGGAGAAGTCTCAGCTGATCGCAATCAGCAATATTATATAATATTATATAATATTCACTTTAATCGAGAACAGTCTTGTTAGCCGGAATCGTGTAGCCATGAGTTAAGTAAATGTTTCCTTCAACGCTTGTCTGTCAGTGTCACTAGAAATTTCCTGTGTGAATCTGCTCTAAAGTGAACTGAACAGAGGAGCACATCCATTGTCTCACCATCCACAGACGAGTAGACCAGGACACAGAGCCGTGGCGAGCGTGCATCCAGCCGTGCCACGACAACAGGCACTTTAGGACATTCCTCATAATCATGATTATGGTGACCCACAGGCCCGTGCCCACCAGAACTCCTCCAACTATCCTCTGGCTGTCTGTAGACATGTACCGACTGTGGACAGAGACAATACATATGAGAGATTATATGCTTAAATATGATGTTTGACATACTAACACAGGTCATTTCATTCTCAAGTTTGACCGATTAATGAATCTCACTGTGCACTGAAACAAGATAATGGATGCATTAGGCATTTAATGGCATACGGCAGCTGTCAGACTTGGCCCAGTCCAAAGTCACATCAAATCATGGCTGATAATGCATGCCCCACACACACACACACACACACACACACACACACACACACACACACACACACTATGACTAATAAACTGCCAGCGGTAAAATCATACACCTTTATTACTCAGTGTAGCATGTATAACAGACGATACATGTTATAAACTTAAGAAGTGGCACTGCATTTCTGCTATTTCAGTATCTAAAGCAGCGCAACACCAACAAGTGCCCTTATCTACACAACACATATGCTTGTCCTTTGAAAATTATGAGACATTTCTGGGAATAATAACCTTAACGATGCTGTCATAAACACCGTCCTTGACTTGAGGGAAAATCCCTGCATTGTTGATAAGAGTTATTAAAGGCTTTAAATGGGCAGGAAGTGTTTCCATGACATCAATAAACATGATCAATACTGTTGGCAAATAGGAAGATGAGGGTAGTGGGAAGGTTATTAAGTTACAACTACTTCACAATCTGTTACTACACGCAGAGCTGTCACTGAAAGACATACTGGAGAGACAGGCCTGTGCGTTTTCTCATAAATACCGGAGGCATGTGCATAACTGCATAAATGTAGTAAAAGCTTGATGACACTGCATTAAAAGCATTCCACCGTCATTTGTCAAGATGGGGCATTTTCACATACTAGATTTCTAATCAGCATTTCCTGTGAACAGATTCACATGGTAGCTATGTCTTGACATTAATAAAGCTCTTTGTTGTTCCATATTGTTTTATAAGGCCAAAAAAAGAAGGCTTTCCAGCTTACTCTATCTGCTTATGAAGAAAGACATTCACCACATCATACGTGGCAGCACCTCCTATCAGTGTCCTTACCTGATGGGTATGTGTTGACCCAGCTTGGCGATCAACCCCAGAGAGGGATCCAGCTGGTTGTATTTATTGTAGGACATGTAGGACACAACCACAACCATGAACCCAGCAGGGCTGCCCGGGTACACGCCAGTCATGACCCCATTCTGTGGGAAGTTGAACCAAATGGAAGGTTACAAATCAGTGTCACAGAGAAAGCAAAGAATCTTTGAGGACACTGTTTATAAAACCATTGATGCCATAACAAAGTGTTCTGGCTCCTGCTGATTTATGCAAGATATCATTTATGACGCTGGACAAAGAGCAATGTGTGAAAACGCTAGCAGGTGTTTACGTTTGAGTGACTCAGTATTTGACTGGGTGTAAACAGACAACTAGGTCAAAGGCTAGGACACAAAGAACAGACAGGAAGGTTATCGTCACTGTTGGCTGTTTGTGTGAGAGTAGGTGACCTTCCAGCGTGAGCGAGTTAACATCACCCCAAACAGATTTACAGTAGGAGCAAATTAATCAGTCAAAAAACAGTATCATTGGGACCCTATGAAGCTGTTTATTAATTGAATATTTACTGAAAAGAGACAGACAGTAACTCAGTCAAAGATCATCACAAATTTCCCCTCATACTGTACTTTGCTCCCTCATGTGTCTAACATCTCTCACCTTGAAGCGAATGAACCTTTTCTTCCAGGAGTGGAGGCCAGAGAGGTAGATCTGGCGTAGAGCCTCGTGGCACAGCTGTAGGTCAATGCCATCTGGGGTGACGGTGAACTGGAAGGCCACCGCCTGGTGAGCTTCTGCCATGGTGGCTACTACTGTGCAGGGTCACTGAGAGTAAGGAAGGTGAAAGATAACAAGGTTAGTGAGGACGAAGTTTCAAGATAGATGTAGGTCAGAAACATTAGCCCACCTACGTTTTAACTACTGTTCCTACAATATGTTGTCTCTTTACGTGAATGTGGATGGCATAAATCGAAGGCATCGACCCTCAAGCAATACTTGTAGTAGTTAGAACAATTTTATGTTTCAGCTTGTGGCCTGCTGTCGATCTTGCAATTACGTTCTTCTAAATACTACAAGTGTTGCTTGAGTTTCACCTTTGAGTCATATCCCTTCTCCGTGCACCAGTGGGTGAAGTTGCTCCAGAAACCCTCACCCTGCTTCTACAATGTGGATGACACAACCATTTAGCCAATTCATCACAAAGTTGGGTTAACAGATAACTGACTTCAACAATGATTAGATCACAACCAACAACCACATCTTGATATGTGGAAGAGGCTGTAAATAATTGTCAAAGGCAAATATCGTCACTATCTTTTATAGTGATGTGCTCCTGCCACTGTTCTTTAAAATATGTTGTCCTCATTCCTTGATGGCACTGCAGGTTACCTAATTTCCTAGACTGAATCAGTCTAAATTGTTTGTTGGGAACCAGCAACTGAATGGGAAAGGATTCTTATTGGACACTGACGTAGAGTTGACACAGAGTTAGATAGACAACTGCATGTTTACGAAGAAGGACAACATATACATAGCTAGAGGCCAAACAGTTACAGTACTGAAATATTGAAACATATGAGCTGGATGACCAGGCGTTTCGAGTTACTAGAGTTTGCATTTCCTTCCTTCCCTCAAGTCTCTTTAACTGAAGCCTTGAGTCCACTTTCCTAGTTAGTGTAGCCCTTATGGTCATATCCAAATCATCTTGGCTTTGCTTGCAACTTTACTTGGTTTTAATTCTGTCTTAGATCAAAGGACTGATTTTTTTTGTGAAGAACCATTAGACTGTGTCTCACAGAGGTATCTTCTGACTGTCTGTGTCCCCTCTAGAAAGCTGTCTTGTGAGCCAGTACTGAAACTTCAGGGTATTTATAAAAACATCAGATGCCCTGAGAGGTACAAAGAATAACCACAGATACAAACTGGCAACATTTTAGCTGTTTTCCTGCGTTAAAAATACTTTGTCACAGTGATTGTTCATTAGCATTTTATGATTACGAAAGCTGCATATCCTTTATTAGAAAATATCATGAATAGTGGCGTGTCCTTCATCAATCAGCTTTATGCGCATGATTCTACACTTAGTTACTCTATCAACTAAACTGGATCCTGCAAGCTGACACCTCAAGAGATGCGCAGGGAGGTGGCTATATTGTTCTCATCACTGAACTGGTTAGGCAGGTGTAGCGTCTTATCCTTTACCATAAGAAAGCTGATGCAAGACACCCTATTTGATTCAAAGCTAGAAATGACATCTGTTTCAAATCTGCAAATGTTAAGTGAGCGATTGCGTGTTAAACTAATGTTAAGATGCATTTTTGAATTGAATTCTTTTTAATTTGATATAGTAAGGAAGATAAGAGGGGAGGGAGTAAAGGAAAGCTATGTGGGAACTGATTTTAAGCATGCATGGATGACATAACAAGGTGTGTATTTTGAACTGCTATCATCCATCACTGTCACTGACAGACTTAAAAAACTTGATTGGTGGAGAGTTTAGCCTAAAGCTCATATTTGGCAAATGGGTCTTGTCAGTGCTTACCTTACCCAGAATTGCATATTGTAGACTCCCTGTCTCTTGGAATTGGGGAGCTAATAGGGCCTCTAATATACAGATTTAATTGTTGTTTGTGTACTAACTGATGATGCAGATGGTGGTTAGCATTAGCAAACACATTAATTTAACCATCCCTGGTATTTAGACCATCAGCAGCCAATGTGTAAACTGCAGGCTATCATCTGAACGATGAGACTGTGTTTGCGGCATTGTGAGGGACCTGCTGTTTCCTGTTGCCTTCAACTGCTGTCGGAAATCAAACCGCTGCATGAGCATATGTTTAAAAAGTAGCTGTCTAACACAGCTGTTTAATTCCTTAATTTTTTTTATCATCATTTGTGAACATTAAACTGTTATTTACACATCAGCGTCAATGTTTGGCATCCCATAATGCCATGCTTTAACGTATTAGGTTTTCTCTTCCCTTTCCACCAATAATACTTTAACGTTTCTCCACACAGCTCTTCCTCTTTTCTCACAAGCAACGCTTTTATCTTCGCAAGGTCCATTTTTATTTCATTCACCCAGAACACTCTGGAAGCAGGACACGTCGTTTCTATGTTTTCAGTCCTCGGAAGGAGCACCTTCCACGCAGCAGTGTTTCAGCAGCCAGTCCCCTCCCCCAGCCACTTTCCAACATCACATGATCCACCCTGTGCTGCAGAAACTGGGGGAAAGGTCGCAGCGCTGCACCGCTTAGATACCGAGTATAACTGGTATCATAGTACACACAGGTCCTCGTATGCCGGCAAACATGTCACATCGTGGTCACAATGAAGCAACCGAGAACACATTGTTTGTTTAGGAGTTGAATAACAGGCGTTTATCCATTTTATATTGTTGAAGCAGACACAAATCGCTGACTAGAGTTAATTAACCATGCAAACTACCCCCGGTTGTCATGCATAATGCCTATCTGCATTCTGATTCTGACCGTAAACGCCACATCATCCACCCCATAAAGCCTGTTCAGCCAGTTGTCATCATCTAACACTTGATCACACGAATTAACTCCCGAAAAATCCACTCAGCATATGTAGACTACATTTATTCTGGTATTATATCAAGTAACCTGCCCACGTGGTCTGGGAGAAATTAGGTCACTAGTGTGCACCCCCCCTCAAGTGTCAATAAACTATATTCAACATATTAATCACAATAACAAGCGTTTCAGTCACATGTAAATAAACAGAGTGTGTTATTTCTGCTTTTATGATGCTCTTAATACAAGGACACCATGGCAAATCAGCTCTTACTGACCTTCACTGGCAGGTGATATTATCACACCTGTGCTAAATTTCTCACTTTGTATTATTACACATCACAGGCACAGACATATTACACTTTGTTATTACTGAATATCAGAACTGTGTGTGATGTAATGGTGCTGCCATGAAGTTGTCAATGGGTGACCTTTACTTGGACTTTTGCCTACATTCATGTTATGACTTAGCAAGGAGGATAAGCCCTTACCTGGATCGTTCAATATAAGATCCTACAGCCTACAGAAAGTCACAAGAGGTTAAATGAGTAATGCAGATATTTAATAGAGGCCATATTTTCACAAATGGCTGTTAAAAACTATGGCTGTGAGTGTCATAGACAGTTCCCCTAGAGATTTAGTCTTGACTTTCATGAGTCAACATTTGCATGAAAACTTAATTTCTGCCAGCTACAGGCCAGAGAAGCACATACCCGGTTATGCCAATGCGAAGGTGAGAAAATCTACTGTACATACTATAAACACCGCACAGCTTTACTATGTACTGCGCCGATAAGGAAATGCAACAATCTGACACGAAGGTAAAAGCTGCGCACAGATATGAACAGCTTTCAATGGGTTTTTGTTTAGCTAGTCGAGTTTTTTTCCTCCTATCATATCTATTGCAGCCATATTTGCAAACCTACTTCCAAAACTGCCGAGACTGAGTCATTATGAAGCTGAGACATGTACCGAAAAAAGCATAAATATTACTCACCGACCCTTTCTATCAGTCAGAGAGAGCAGAGCTTTCTGTTTTGACCAGGATGTGACACGGCCTGGCTGTCGGCGGAGACTGCTATACACTCAACATGAATGGGAGTACACAGACTTGTCCAACGCCTGCCCCCTTTTGAGACGAGTCGCCTACTGAACGCGTCCTTGCACGAACAGCGCCCCCGCGAGGTCCCTGAATTTGTTGCGTCTATGGGTTGTGTGAGGACATCAGGTATCCAATGGAAATATATCGTGCTGGCGATGACATCACAGACACCATGAGCATTTCACTGCACCGAGGACTGCATGTACCCAGACTGATGAGCTGTGCAAATGATAAACACCATATCAACATAATGCAGGGGTCCCACCCTGCTTTTTTATTTACTTATTTTCTGCCTCCATTCATTTATATATGTTTTTTTTTTTTAAATTTTTCATTAATTTATTTCTATTATTTTATTTATTTTGTGTGTGTGTGTGTGTGTGTGTGTGTGTGTGTGTTAAACATTCAGCAGTTGTACCAACATTTTGTTTTGGTATTTCTTTTACATTTCTGTGCCTGTATATGTACACACACCTGATGTGTGTATGTCCTTGTTTATTGTTGTTAGAATTAATAAAGATACTGTTGGGAAAAAAACTATTGTGGAAAATAAATTTAGAAAATATCTATAAATAAAACAACCAATGGGAAAGTGTTTTCTTTTTTGTTAATCTGGCCATAACATAACATCCTACACTGTCATAAATCAGTCTTTCCCATGACTTGCAACATTTCCTATTATGGTATAAAACAGTTATAGACATGGTAAGGAGTGATACCACAGTCTAAGCTACGTGGCAATCTCTGATGGTTGACAAATTCACACAGTTTCACATATTGTCATATCGATGAGCCCTACAGTTTAATATGATAATTCTCGGTTCTGCAGTTCCTGTAATACAGGAAGTGGACATTGTACAAGCAACACTTGCACAACAGCCTTGCAACAAATACTCTGCTCCCATGTTAAGTTTTGCTGTCATTCATTTTTTTATCCCCCATATACAACCAACAAGGTGCACTCCAATGCCTAGTAACACCTCTGTAACACGTATCAACAAAAACAACACGTATCACCATTCTTAATAGTAATTATAATACATTGCATTATATTCCACAGGTGTTACTATTTGATATTGTGCCCACCCCCCTATATAATGATATCGACACCATCTCACCAATAGAGTGTGCCTTCTCTAGGTCTAGGGTTGTTTAATACATTGTTGTTAAATTCTCAGTGTACCCTGATACAGATTAAGCCCCACTGATAATGATAAATAATTTGATCACCAAAAACAATATAACAATACAGGGGGACACATTATGGCAATTCTCAGAACTTACTGCAATTGCAGTAACTGTTAAAGCTCATAACAGCCACAAATTTAAAAAAAAAAATAAAAAAAAGTGTTTTCACTTTATATCTTGTTTTCCTCGGTGTCAATAAGCCTTATACACCACAGACAGTCTGACTTGTCATAGCAGGAACAGCTCAAGTGTTAGGCTACTAATCGCATTAATGATGACTCTTGCATTAAAGTGCAAGAGGCAGCAATTCCAACACCATGGCCTTAGAACTGGCATACCTATAAAATGCAGCCATCTTCGTTTTTTTAATTACTTTCCCCTTCCCCTGTGGCTGCAAACTCAACTGTTTGATGAAGGGTGGTGCGGACAGTCATGAGGTTTCTCTGATGTTGCCAGATGCTTTTTTTCTCCTGCCGGCAATGACCTTTACAGAGGCTTCTTGCTGCCTTTAAGATCCCTCTAGTCTTTGTGCAGTCCACTAGTGAGTTACTAACAGTGAGTCACTAGTCCCGGTACTGCCAAAAATGATGTAGTGGCGCAAAACTAAGCTTGAGGTATTAGGACCTGATAGGACCTTAACCAGGATTCCTGCAGTCATCACAGAGCGCCATCCAAGTGACCAAGACTGATCTTGACAGACCTCTTTTTAAGGCTGTTGCACCTCTGATTATGGGACAGCCTACATCAGTTATGGCCTGACATAGGGTGCTGGGTGGCCCAACGCCATTTTCTAATTCACAGTGACAATGAATTAATTCAGACTGGGAGGGTTTTTTTGTACTTTAAATGTGAATAAGGTGCCAGAGGTAAGCCCTGGAGCCCCTTACAAAAGTCTGGGCTAAATATTTACATATTAACTATTAACGTTTGTTTATTAACTGGCCCCTGGCCTCCTGTCACTCTGTTAAAGTGCCCTCGAGCAAAACAAGTTCAGCATGCCTGGCCTACACCCTTATTACGTATACTGAGTTTGATGACCTCAGCAAATTCCCAGCACTACTCTGCTCAACGTCAACCACTAAAAAAAGGTCTTATCAACCTCAAATAACTGGACACACCTGTTTGGCTGTGCACTGTCAGTGTCAGCTACTACACAGGTTTTTCACAGCAGATATTTTGACATGCTGTCGCACAGACAGCACAGGTTTAATTAATAACATGAATAAAGGCTCTATTTCACTTAGGTGTCCCAGTTGAAGGGCTTTGGAATTGCTCCTGCTGACCTAGTAGTATTGCCATGAGGACACCCAAGTGGAATGTAGCCATTAGTAATGTTAGTCATACCTAAACTCTCTATCTGCCATGAAAAAAGGTCTGAAAATAGGCCCTTTTCATAGCAGACATTTTGACTTGTTATAATATGAAAATCACGTGTTACTGATAACATTAACAATGTCTCTCTCCTATTACATTGTAATTTTACACATGTGATTTTCCTGCTTAGACTTGTCACATGTCTTCCATGAAAAAGGCTGATGGTTACAGAAGGCAAAACAGTTCAAAGTCAGAGAAAAGGAAACACATAGGTCAATGTACATCCAGACACAGGGGGGCACTGTTGCACACTGTTGAAAATAATGGGAGAATGGGCCAATCCTTAGGCACAGGCAACATTCACCGGGTAGATTTTGATGTTGTATTAAATTACAATGTATTCTGCTGTTCATTTGCAACAATTGCACACATAAGAAGTCTTGTTCCTTCTCTGTGTTATACCCTAAAACAACTGCATGACTTGAATTCATTGAGATGTAGAGCAAAGTCCAATACATATTATGTGGAAGACATCCACTGCTGCACTGACCGGTATGTGTTAAAAGACTGCAGTCTGTTGCATTTATTAGGCGACACACAACAGATCTGTGGGGTGTTGTTGTCAACAGGCCACATTTGCATGGTGACTGATGACCATTCCAAATATACAAAATATGCAGATTTTGAAGCAGATGTTTTTTCTTGAGGGCACATTTCAAGATTGTACTTAAGGTATCATAAAATCAGGTCAGATCCCGAGATAGATATGAGTCACAAGATGACTAAGTGGATAAATAAGAAAAACATGTTATGATTTCTGCATTAAATTAGATTTTTTTGATACCCCAAACAATTTTTAACCTATCTAATGCCATCCCCAAACCATTATTACTTGTGCTAAAGAAGTGATACAACATACTAATTCAGTATGAACATTGTCAAATTTATATATGGGAGAATTTCATTTCCTCAGTAAAAAATGTAGTAATAGTCAGATGAGAAAAATAGTAACTGATGATCTATATCCAGTTCAATAGAGTAATGGATTTTCATGACATGCATCCTGAAAAGGAATGAGATTAAAAACAGTATTCTTAGATTATCCAATATTATCCAAAGCCAAAGAAATTCATTTTGAATTAATTAATAATATATATCTTTCAAATGAATTCCTTAGAATGAGATTTAACTTTGAGATTAATGTTTGTTGTTTCTGCATTTCAGATACTGAAACCACAGAACACATTTTCTGAGCTTATGGTCATTCCCCAACTTTTTTTTGGAAACAGACAGAAGAATGGTTTAAACAAAAGAATGTACAGCTACACCCAGTTCACACGGGGATGTAATGTATGGAGTAGTTATGAAAGAAAGACGAGAAAATATATTGACTAACACAATTATCATTATGGCCAAATATTACATGCACAAAGCAAAATTGTGAAAGCACCACCCATAGTGATTTTTGTTGTACTGTAAATCCTGACAGTGTATGAAATCTAAATATGCAAACAAATTGCTCAACTGTGTAGAAATGTACAAATGAACAGACCCTAGACAGGAATCTCCATGGACTATGATGTTTGCAGATGACATTGTGATCTGTAGTGAGAGCAGGGAGCAGGTGGAGGAAAACCTATAGAGGTGGAGGTATGCCCTTGAAAGGAGAGGAATGAAGGTTAGCCAAGACTGAATGCATGTGTGTGAATGAGAAGGACCCAAGTGGAACGGTGAGGTTACAGGGAGTAGATATAAAGAAGGTGGGGGATTTTAAGTACTTAGGGTCAACAGCCCAGAGCAACGGAGAGTGTGGAAAAGAGGTGAAGAAACGTGTGCAAGCAGGTTGGAATGGGTGGAGAAAAGTGTCAGGTGTGATGTGTGATAGAAGAGTACCAGCAAGATTAAAAGGAAAGGTGTACAAGAAGGTGGTGAGACCAGCGATGCTATTTGGTTTAGAGACAGTGGCACTGAGGAAAAGACAGGAGGCAGAGCTGGAGGTAGCAGAGATGAAGATGTTGAGGTTCTCTTTGGGAGTGACGAGGATGGATAGGATCAGGAATGAGTACATCAGAGGGACAGCTCATGTTTGATGTTTTGGAGATAAAGTCAGAGAGGCCAGACTGAGATGGTTTGGACACGTTTAGAGGAGGGATTGTGAATATATCGGTAGAAGGATGCTGAGGTTGGAACTGCCAGGCAAGAGAGAGAAAGACCAAAGAGGAGATTTATGGATGTAGTGAAAGAGGACATGAAGTCAGTTGGTGTGAGAGAAGAGGATGCAGAGGACAGGGTTAGATGGAGGCAGATAATTCGCTGTGGCAACCCCTTAAGGGAAGAGCCGAAAGAAGAAGACTTTCAAAGACCAAATAACTTTCTTTTGTATTATTTATGTTGTACTATTTTTAATTTGTATCTTTATTTATTTTTTCCTGTTAAGTATTTTTTTTCCCTTTAATTTGGCTGACATCCCTTTTTCCCTTTCTTTTTTTCTACTCAGTTTCATGTCCATTTACTTGTAATATGATGGACTTACTGCTGTAATTCTAAATTGTTTAATAAAGTTCACTAACAAAGGGAGAACATATGTTTGTAACACATAATTATAATTATTCTGACTTTTCCCTTTTCATGTCTTTTACCTTGTGAAACCCCTTGATGTGTTCACTTCCTCCCCTCCCACAGAGGGCTACAGTGTCAACTTAATGGGTGACAAAAATAAAAAATAATTCATCGGTTTGTGTCCAAGTTAAGGACATAACCTGAAATGGAGGTCGTAATTAATCTTCAAATTAAGACTTTCACAAGCCAAACAGATCTAGCTGGAGATAAAACATGAGGCAACGTCCCAGTATGACTTGTATGTCTAGTGTTAATTCAGCAGAGGGCGCAAGATGACAGTTTTTTTGTCAAAGAGTTTGTCCATCCGATATATTTTCTTGCAACTATTTATTTCAAAGTAAAAAAACTCGCTATGTTTTCACTAAATGCCCAAATAACATGGATGGAACAAGCTACGAGCTACAACAAGCTAGCATTAACGTTAATTAACGTTAACTATTCAACTAACCTTTAACTCATCGCGTTTTTCAGCTACCAAAACAATGCAAAACAAAAAGAAATAAGTAAAATTATCTCATCGTTTCAATTAAAGTATCGTGTTCGCAAAAAACACGCAGTAAATATGATGGCTTACCGTCTTTTTTCAGCTGCTGCACATCATATCAAACACGAAAACCCCTTCTCAATCTTTCCCTCTGAGGAGCGCGCGCCTCCTCCTGCCTCCCCTCGCTGCCCGTGTGCGCGCATCGCACTGTCACTGGTGCTCAGACAGCTGCAGCCAGTTCGCGGCATGTTGAGCTGTCCTGGGGGGTGCGTCCGTTTGACCAGCAGCGACTTCAGCGAAGCTAGTCGACAGTCGGGTACAAGCCTTCAGCTCGGTGACAGTATTTTGGTTACGGCTCCCCTGGACAGCGAGGGAGAGAATGAGAATAGTGGATTTAGTTTCTACTTGTAGGTACAGCGCAGCAGCAGCAGAAGAAGAAGGGAAGTCACTTCAAAAGGTAAGCAGCGACGACGCTTTGCTAGTTAGGTTACTGTGAACGTTAGCGTCTTTACTCCACTGTTTACTCCTCATACACTTTACGGTTATTAGCGCTGGGAAAGCCAGGACGTGGGTGGCCACAAAAGACTTGTCGCCCGAATCTCTGTCTGGTCCTTGTGTGTTTTTACAACTTGCTTAAGCAACTATAAAACAGTAAAGGAAGCTACACCTAACGTTAACTTACTAATCAATTGTAACGGCTAACCGCGCGTGGACAGCCATGGATAACGTTCGTCCCGTGTGCACGTGATTTATAGAAATGAAGATTATACCAGTTCTTGTTATGGGAACAGATACCTTTTACTGTAAGAGAAGATGGCTAGCGTAACAAACCCCTTGTGGTGAGAGCGGTGACCGAGCGCTTCTCTAAGGGAATTTCTGCTTTTGCATCACTCCTCACGGGCTTTCCAGCACTTTAATGGCTTGTAAACACTGGCCATGATGGCGAGAAATGTGTCCATGATGGGATCCGTCTCCCTGTCCTCAGTTCTCTGGTTACCCACTCCAACAAACAGTATTTGTTTGGTTGCGATGTCAGTCAGCCTTGACATCCATAAGTTCCGCATTTTAATAATAGCAGGCACGAGACAAGAGTCAGAATCAGAAACTATACTTTTGATCAAGATAGCAGACCAGTCTATGTATTTATTTATAAAAGGAGACACAGCTCTTGTCATTTGAGAGAGCAGATTTTACTCTGTACACAGCCCCACTACACAGACCACAGATGCCCCAGCATCCAGAAGTAGGCCAGTTACTGGTCTGTATGTCATGCCATGCCATGCGTGGTCCCCTTTGAAAGGTTAACTGGGCGTCTCACTGGTTCATACATGGAGAGTGGGGGAGGTTACAGACAGTCTGAGTGAAAGATCTCCAGCAGGATTTAGCCCTCATCCTCTACCAGATGTCTCGTGGTCATTGTTGTACTGTCATTTGCCCCCCTCATTGTTTTTTTGTTTTCAGTGTAATGTAACAGATGTGCATGTTGCTAATGACAAGTGCACATTTGCTCTATAGTCATTTCCCCACAATTAAATATGCACGGTCATTAATGGGTGTGCACCATTGTTGAAAGAGACAAATGAATATGTTTTATGTATTTGCACATGCATGTTTGCAGTCTGGTGCTTATGGATGCTCAGGAACATCTAATTACCTCAGTATGAATCACTCCACACATTGTCATCTGAGAAAATTTGTATAGTCTGTGGCATGGAGGTTGGAGCATTTTTATTTATTTATTTATTTTTTTATTGTGTCTATGTTAAGCCATTAGCGTGTCACATCGTGTGACACTCCACTTGTGGTTTGAGGAGGAAGCCCCACACCGGAAAGGTGACAGCGCTGTTGGTGTACTGTTGTGTGATGCATTTGAAAGCCCCCCCCTCCTCCCATGCCTTAGCATTTCTTTGTGTCTCTCTTGCTGCTCTGTGGTCTTGCGGTTTGATTTCCGATCTGAGAGTCCCGAATGAGTTGACCAATCCTCAATTTTACTGTGATGCCCATTTACAAAATGGTGGTCCTATGTACAAGATAAAGTGCTTATGTGATCAGTGTATTTACAAAAACATGCTTCTTGATTTATATTTTACTCATTGCTAGGTTGAGGAAAAGTCTTAACTTTCTGCTGTGCCGCACAAGTTTGCTCTTTGATCAGCTTAACTCAGCTTTACAGTTTGACTTCAAGAGATGTGTGAGAACCGGACTTTCATTTGCAGAAAGCTTTCAGGGACTTAAATGTTCTCTTGAACAATGATCTGACTGCCCTGTCTGATGCCAACAGGATGTGAGCCACGTGTGAGGCAGAGCAAGTGAGCCCTTATTTTGTTTTTATGCCTGTGAATGGGCCTCAGTCAGCAGCATTAGCCTTTTTTGTATTCTCAGAGTTGGTGATTAAGTCTTTTTCATTTTTGTGCTGTAAATCACCACTTATCTCACTGCATGAGGCATCAAAAAGCATTGATGTATTTCTTTTCATGATGAAAGCATTGCACATTTCAGCAGCATTGCAAATGAGTTAAGATTTAGTTTGCTGAACAACTCTACTGGTGAAAACCATCAGTTCAATAGTTTTATCACTAAATCTCAATGTCTCACTCTGAGACCAAATTTAATGTTCATCTACGGTTGACTCGTAACTCTCTTCAGTCAGCAGCCTTCATTGTATTCCATTGTGATAATATTATTTCAGTGGAGAGGCATCAATGGTGTTTTTGTCTGCCTGAATGGCGGCTTTATGATAGACGTCAAAGGCCCGATGTGGGTGTCACAAAACGCACCAGATATTGAAGGCTTTTACCAAAGAGGCTTTAGCCCTGCTGTGTGACTCATGAAATGTCTTTTCAGAGTTTCAGTGTTTTCTTTCCGGACGTCCATATTCCTTATTTTGGTCAGGGTCACAAGGTCCCGGAGACAATGGGCGATAGTCAGGGATACACAATCACACATCAGGTTGTCACACTCACATTCACACCTACATACTATTTTTGGGTTAACAGTTCAACAAACATGCATGTGTGTGGAGTGTGGGAGGGAATCTTCGCAGACACAACATGCAAAAGCTTCAGCCGGCCGGCAGATTCAAGCCCATGAGATTGCTCATAGTATTCCTGACCAAATACATAGATATTTGAACCGCTACATTAATGATTGTGACTAAAGGATACTCATACATGAGAGAAACCAATCATCATCAATAATATTGTTATGATGACCAAGCAAAAAGAATCATTGTTTTTTATTTAACTAAGATGGAGCATTCTGATTAGTTCAGAAAACGGTGTCACATCCCTATAATAACATATGACTAAAAGACAAAAAAAGCCAAGACCTTATCAAGCCTTATCTCATTTCAATATCATGTGATGTGGCGCTGCTATATATAGAGGCCTTTTTAATAACTGTTTATCATTGCCATGAGTGCTTAAAGGATTAGATGAATGTTCAACTTGTCAATCAACAGCAAAGTAATTACTAGTAATTTTGTTGATAAGTGATTTAACAAGAAAATACCAAACTGTGGCTGGTTCACGTTTTTCAAATGTGATAATTTGCTGCTTTTCTGTTGTTGTTTTTTATATCTTTGTGAATTGGACCTGCCAAGATCCTGGTGTGAAATTTGGTTGAGCTAAGTTTGTCTCGAAATTAAAAAAGTGAGGTCACACTTCTGTAGAGATTGCACATCGTCACCCGGGTTGAAAACAGACACACCACTGAGGAGATGAGTGATAGCTCCATGGAATAATAGCCCCGATAGTTGTTTGTCTTTTGGCATTTGTATAAAGGCTAAATTGGGCTCACTTGGAATTTCTCCTCTATTATCATTTCTAGTTTGTGTCTTTTTTAGATGCCATTTAGATTTGTTTTTGCTCTAAATGCTTAACATCCTTGCAGTGAAATTAGAGCTTCCCTCCAGTGCAATGCTGTTCCCCTTCCATGTACCATAATCCCCCGTTTCTGTGTTGAACATGAAAATTATGATAAGCAAATCACCAGTGAACCTAGCATAATTTCTGCTTATCTTTTGACTCAAGATGAGCTGACTTTGGCCCCAGTTTGGCTTTTTTCATTGGGTAACAGGTTGAATCATTTTGGCACTGTAAAAACCAGTGCTGTGCTGCAGGGTTTGCAGCAGTATACAAACAGAGTAAGTATCAGATATCATGTTGTTGTGCGCTTATTGGTTACCTGTGCATTTGAATCTTGGTGTGAAGGAGGTTTGTATTGCAGAAGGGGATAATTGTGAAAATGGTTACATACAAGGTGAAATTTAAAAATAGCATGACATTCAGTGGGAGGTTGCATAACTTCCTCAAACATTGTGTATTTTCCCTTGTGCATTTTAACCATGCATTATTGACTTCGTATCCAAATCTGACTTAACAAAGCTTTTATAACATAATAGTGCCACTTATTTGAACTCTCTGCTTTTATTATGACTCTATCCTTTGCTAGGAAGAGCATCCAGTTATGAGAATGTGGCTTTCTCAGCAGGGTCCTGTGGTTTTGTGTTTATGAATACTGTTCCCTTGACATTCCTGTCCTCATCATACCACCCCTTGAAAAAGTGCTGCCACTCTGGGAAATAAGGCCTCTCTGGCTGGCCTGCGACTCCAGCATCTAAAACTTTGTGTGGTCATTGTTATATTTAGACACCCCCCTCCCCCCAGGTAATGGTGGAGGCAACAGCAAGGACCAGAGAGGCTGTTCTCAGGCCGGGCAGATGCAGGGAGAGGTGATAGCAAGCTCCCTCTTCCTCAGACTCAGACTTGTTTTTTCCTTTGTTAAGATGGGGGAAAAGGTTAGGTAGTTTTAGATGGTGAGTGTCGTTTTTGAAGTTGTGTTCTATGTGCTCAGCTTTGGGAATACGATAAGGCAGAGCGACAGTGGTAATACAGAGTGGAACAGGACAGAAAAGCCCCTTGGGGACAACAAGCTATTCTGAGCCATGTGCTTTTTTCCCCAGTCCCTGTTCTCTGGATGTTTTGCCCCTGGGTCACACAGTCTCTGTGTTGCTGCTATTTTTCTATGCATAAACACAAACGCTACAGCGTACAAAAGAATCAGAGGGACAGTGAGGAGGAAAGAGAGCCTCAGACAGCGAGAAAGACAAGGACTCTCTTGTTGAGGAGACTTTGTGGCTGGCCAGCAGTTTTCTCACATTGGCCTAATTTGGTATCATTCTCCCTGTTCCTAAGACAATTTTTCTAGTTCACATGGTTTCAGTGGTCACTTCAACCCAGTCAAGAGCAGATTGAGTTAGCACACTGTTTGTCATGCTTTGCTGTGAGTCAGTAGCCACTGTGTACAATTCCTGAGAGGAACCACTGGGTTTAGGGTAAACAATTGGCCATTGTCCATGCACCATCACACCTGCAAAACACATGTGTGGTAGCATGGAACTTTGACATATGCGTCCTTGTAATGTGTCTGAAGGCTGAAGTGTTTTTTTACATCCAC